TAAGCAAATACTCTACATTCTTAAATGCTTCTCCTGATAAGTCTTTGCATATTGATCTGCAATGACACTATTTTTAAAACTCTTCTTTCCTCCCATCATCACATAAAAATAGAAATAGGTAATAATGAGTTGGGGGAGGTAGATTGGGCATTTCTGGATGTGTTTTACAAATCATGCTAAAGAACTGAGTAACTGTTAGGAAGAATTGCTAGCATCTAAATATATTCCCTTTCTTCGAGGTTGTATTTGTGTGGTATCTCAGCAACTGTTGCCATTACATCACAAACTATAGCATTTACTGTCAACTCTCACAAATAAATATTCCACAGTATGCCTTGTTTATGGTGAATGGTAATGTGCCTCCAGGGCTTTAAGTACTTGCTTACTATTACAGAAGGCAGGAAATCTGGATCACTTTCAGTCCAGATTCAGGCCTGGCTTCAGCACGGAAACCGCTTTGGTCACACTGACCAATGATCTCTGGAGAGCCAGGGATGGAGGTCATCCCTCCATCCTAGGGCTTCTTGGCCTCTCAGCGGCCTTCGATACCATCGACCATGATATCCTTCTGCGACGGTTGCGAGAGGTGGGGGTGGGAGGCACCATTTTTCAGTGGTTCTCCTCCTACCTCTCGGACAGGTCGCAGTCAGTGCGNAGTCAGCAATGAAACATTATCCTTTAGCTTAAAAACCAAATGCTTGCTATGGCACATAAAATAAGATCCCAGTTAACTCAGCTCCCATTGAAATCAGCCAGTTTTTGGTCACACTATAACCAACTTATCCCAATAATTTCAATAGATTCTGACCCTCACCTGTGTTTTCTTTAGAAAAAATGTATAAAGCAGTCTTTTAAATCATACTTCTTGATCTAGAAACTAACTCAAAATCCTTGAAAAAGTAGAATAAACAGTCCAGTGCACTGCTCCTATTGGAGCAAACATGGAGTTTTACCTTGGCAAACAGAGTCGTAATTGACACAACAATTATTATTTTTCACACAATCATCCGAGCAGGAACAATGATATTCTGGCCGGTTCTTCTCACCACATCTAAATTTGGTGCAGGTCCATATCTGAACTGTAACAGAGAGATACTATATGAAATTAAACATGTCTGGGCTGGATAAAAACTGGAATTGCATGTCAAATTATTATAAGGCTACAAATTATTACAGGGCTACAAACAAAAAAGGAAAGTTTTCTTTTTGTACTTTCTGAACTCAAGGAAATATTGAGCAAGGATCTCATGGGTAAAGCCACCAGTCTGGGAGAAGACCTAATGCCATCATTTAAGTTATTCAACCAATTTAAATTCCCAATATTCCTACCTATTGTATATCTCCTACTCCCCAATCCATGCACTCTCCCAATATTTTAAACATTGAGTAGAGACCTGGAATTCATAGGTTCTCTAAACAACTAAAACAGACCTTCGAATTATTTTGGACTGATCAATGTATTTGGAATCTGGAGAGCGTATTATTGGCACTGGCACCAAATGGCTTGCCATGGGGTAGAGGTCCTCTTTTCAGAAAATTATGGCAGTGGGGGGTATGGCCAGCCATGAAATATGAAATACCAGAAGAGAAACTGGTAAGAAAGGTCCATTTCTCCCCTTATAACCCTCATCTTCATTCTGACTACTTGACTCTACAGGGCGGTGCTCATCTCCGTTTCAAAGCCGACAAGCCAGTGCTGTCAGAAGACATCTCCGTGGTCATGTGGCCGGCATGACTAAAAGCCAAAGGTGCACGGAACGCTGTTACCTTCCCACCAAAGTGTTCCCTATTTTTCTACTTGAATTTTACATGCTTTCAAACTGCTAGGTAGGCAGAAGCTGGGACAAGTAACGGGAGCTCACTCTGTTATGCAGCACTAGGGATTCGAACTGCCGACCTTTCTGATCGACAAGCTCAGCGTCTTAGCCACTGAGCTACCGCATCCCTACCTGACCTCTACTAGGAATATAAAAACCAGGCAAAATATGATTAAATATATTAATTCAATTTGGTTTTCCATCAGTTCTGACTGAATTTATTCAACTGGAACATATGAAAAGATACACAATTGAAATTTTAGATAGAAATAATGATAGAAATCCAGAAGCGCAACTCCTTGAAATACTCACCTGGAATGAAATGAAAGCAAAAAAACCTAAAAAAATAAAATGCTTACCAGGTTCTGTACAAGCTTCCTGAAAATCTAAACAGCAGTTTCCAAGTTCAACACATTCCTTGTCGCAGCGGCAGGTTCCAAACGTTCTTTCATAGCAACGACCCTTGCAGGTTTTCACTGAAAGTTTTAATATTTATTCAATGTTACAGAGTGAACATTTATTATTTATCTATTTCAGGGTGGTTTAGCATCCAAGTGCATGAAAGTATGGATTTCCCTTTTTGTAACTCCCTTTTTGTTAACCCCCGTAACCCAAAAAATAGGCATTCTCAGTCTAAAAGAATAAAAATGCTACTGAATCTGTCTATGAATATAGATGTCGTAGCAGCATTGGAGGCATGCACATTGTCTAAATTTTATCATCAACAAATGGATACCATATAGACTAGGTGTGTCAAACTCAAGGCCCGGGGGCTGGATCCAGCACGTGTGGGGCTTAGATGTGGTCTGTGGGGCCACCCTGGAAACAGCGAAGGTCCAGCCTGTGGGACCCCTGCCATCAAAAACGGAGCTCGGGAGCCCATTTTTGTTGGCAGAGCGCTTGGACCACCACAGGTGCCACTGATACAATGATATTGAGCTGACCATGCCCCCCCTGTCCCCCCCCCGAGGTCAAACACAATCCTGATGCGGCCCTCAATGAAATTGAGTTTGACACCCCTGATATAGACCTATTAGATCTAAACTTGTCTATTCTCCCCTAAGGGATTAATTGAAGCCTCGTCTTGATTGGTTTGAGTACAGCTTCATTTACACATTCCTTCTGAACTGTGGGAGGAGGAGGCTTAAACTAAAATAAGTTTTGCGAAATTAAAAAAACAAGAGGAAAAAGCATTTTATTGGAAAACTTTGATGCTTGCCTAGCAATAGCTCTTCCTTGACCCCAAGACCAGTATACTTAGTCATATGTGCAGATAAAAATACTACTAACAGCATTCATAATTTGTATTGTACTGAGTTCCTAATAGAAAAGTTTTGACAACTAAGCACATTTGTTTTAAACCAGAGGAAGCCCAGTGAAAAATTCAATAGCCTAAATAACTGTGTTTATGTCTGGATTATCCTTATATATAAATTCTTGTTTTTATGTATGTGTTTCACGACGTAGTAGGTACTTATTCTGGATCTGGTTCAGCTGATAAGCTGTTACTGAGTGGACCAGTATGGAATGCTATGAATGTAATATTTGGGGATGTAGAAATATTTTTAAAACTCATATATTTATTGTTCTTTTAGCATCTTTACTACTTACCATCTCTTGTACAGCTAGGTTTCAGTCCAAATATACATCCTAAGATAACTGTAAGCACAATGACACATAATACCTAGAACAGAAAATAAGATTTTCTTTTAAAAAATCTACTACACTAATTATGTTCATCAGAACTGAATAAAGCAATGGGTTGATTGGCTGGTAAAAAGCTAGGACATTTTTAAAAAGTAAAGTCACTGATACACACATAAGTTTACCAAATGTTTATTGTTACAGCTGTGGAAAATGATGTTGTTTTGCCCATGCAGTATAATATGTTGTTCTTTCCAGTTTGACTGTCTATCAAACTAGAATTTGCACAGTAATACATTTCACAGTTATTTGTTTGTTTTTGTTTTAAGTATTCTGTCCTCTTTGTTTTACTTTTGGTAATTCAGAAAGAAATTTTAAAGAAAAAAAATAAACAATGTTTTGGTTATTGGTTATAATCAGCCTATTCTAATAATATTTTTTCCTTCCTGCTATTTTCAAAACTTTTTCAACTGTAACCTGATTATTTCCAAAAATGATTAAGAAAATAGAGAGTTTGGTTGAACTAAATGTTTTATATAAGGCTGCACATTATACATTGTGAGATGTTTCTTGTGTGGTTCAGCTGTTCTATTTATGAGTAAACCACAAGACTTCCCTCATGTAGTCTTTTCCTGAACAGCATCTGTCCAAGGTGCAGGTAGATGATCTCTCAGTCCCTCTTTTATTTGGAAAGGTTTCACCAGACAAAAATGATCATTGGCTGCTGTTCACTATTGCAGCAGTGTCTCTACTCCTTTGGGGACATCTACTCTGCTACAGAATCTCAATGAAAGCTCAACTATATTGGACTTCCATAAAGGAAGGCCAATGATGGAGCTCTCCAATGTAATTGGATGAGTGTTTCTTAACCTTCGCCATTTAAAAATGTGCTGACTCCAACTTCCAGAATTCTGCTGTCATCATGCTGGCTATGGAATTCTAGGAGTTGAAGTCCACACAAAATGGCGAGGCTGAGAAACACTGATTTAGAAGGTTGCATAATGCATAAGGCTGGCTAGAGAATACTAGAGAATTATACTTCCTAATGCCAGAGGTCAGCCAAATATTTGCACTTTGAAATCCTGTTTCTAAGCTTTCCTTTCCAAATAATNTAAAGGCTCTGCATGGCCATTTCGGGGAAGGGGGCGGGGTTTCGGGAGGCAAAAAATGCTGTATTCAGTGTATAAGACGCACCCAGATTTTCAGCCTCTTTTTTGAGGGGAAAAGGTGCGTCTTATACTCCGAAAAATACAGTAAGTGTAAGTGGTGACAATTTTTGTATATCTCATTTTACTTTTCTTCTTTATAACTGCTATTCTAATAGCAAATCCTTCGTAAAAGTTATTGCATTGCATTTTTGATTAAATTATCTTTTCGTGTATATATCATTTTAGGGTACTACTCCCCCCCCCAAAAAAGTGGTGTTATTAGCCATCAAACATCAAAAATACACTTTCCCCCCCTGAAAGTTTTCCACAATTTTGGCCACTACTATAAGGAAGGAAGGAAGTAAAGGCCAGTGGGATCGCAAAGGCTCACCTGTTGTGCGCCAAGGAGCGGGGCGCTGCGAGGCCAACGCCTCCTGGCTGTGGTCCTGGTAAGGCACGCTGAAGGACGCTCCGGGCTTCGTCTTTCTTGCTGTCGCTGCTACCGACGGGGCCCTGAGTTCGAGAGACGGGCGTTTTCTCAAGGATTAGGACAGGCTGCGCAGGAGAGCTGAGACTTTTCGCCGGTTCCACTTTCCTCGCAGGGAAGTCAGAAGTGCCCGGATCAGCCTGGGAAAACTTCTCCCGCGCCTGCTGGATTCGGGAGTGCACTTCCGTCGAAGGGGAAGCCACAAGCGGGTCCGGCGTTGGGGCGGGAGGGTGCGGCCGAAGGAGGTTTGGACTTGGGGAGACCCCGCCGGATTTAGGACTCCGGGAGTTGGACGGTTCCTGAGCGGCTGCTGGTTGGGGAGTCACGTTGCTTTGGAAGGCCCTACGGGGTTTGGGCACCGGTGAGGCGTCCGGCGTGGGCCCCAGCCCCTTCCCACCACTCCCTGCAGGGGTCTTGGAAGAGGCTGTCTTCTTCTCCGTCCGGCTCTCCTGGGCAGGAGGAGCCTGCGCCGAGTCAGCTCCCGCGTGGCGGTTGCAAAGGAAGGTTCCGGGGCTGATCCCCGCTTTGTAGTTCCCGCTCTGCAAAGTGCTGGAGCATTTTTTGCACCTGGAGGCGGAATTTGGGGACAAATCGTGAGCATCTAACAGGGCAGTGATGGCTCACCGTTTTGTACCCATAATGCAATGTGTGCGCGACAGCCCCTCGCACACCCCTGAACATGGGTCTGCCACAGTGGTGGGCTGCAGGCGGGACGCTCTGGAGCACCGGGTATGGTCCTCCGGAGGGCCCACCCGAGCTCCTTACCTGTCCTTTAAAGCCTTCGGTGCTTCCGCGCATGGCACATTCAGTACCTGCGCAACGCTCCGCCGAGAAGCTGGAGGGTAGCGGAGGCTTGAGGAAGCCTTGCTGGCAGGTATATGTGCCTCCCTGCAGCCTCCTCGGACCAAAAAGGGCCAGGGGGGGGGAGCATCACACTCCCCCGCCCCTATGCATGTCTGCATGACCACTCCGCTTGCTCACGTATGCGCGCCGTCTCATGCATGTGCCCCGCTTCCCTTGCAAGCACGGCAGAGCCCCAAAAATCAGCTGGCTGGTAGGAGGCGCATGTGTGGGGGAGCTAAGCTGGGGCCATGGCCCGCGTGCCCGCAGGGAGGGCTCTGCGTGCCACCTGTGGCCCATGGGCCAGAGGTTCCGCCATCCGGGTGATAGGGAATCAGGTTACGAAGTCAAGAGTTGAACTCCACCTATCTCAGTGGCCAAGGTTGAGGCCCGCTGGGCCACCGCAGGCGTTACAGGCCGCCCAATCCCTACAGCATCCTCGCCCCTCCCCAAACCAGACCACTGAAGCCCGGCATGGGGTTGGGGTGTCAAAGGCAGCCCCTCACCAAGCCCTCCCGAGGGAATCATACCTAAAGCAATTCCTGTGATACAGCTTCCCGTCCATCAGGAGGCGTTGCACCAAGTGGACGTGAGTTCCGCAGACGGCACAGTTGCTCGGCTGGGCATTGTTCCTCTCGGCTAAGACCCGTCTCTGGGAGGCAGGAGGAAACAGGGATTCAAAAGGAAACACACACACACACCCCTCCATCGAGCCCCAAAGACCCTCCCCTGTTTTACTAAAGGATTTCTCAGCAGTTCCCCAGCGGAGCCCCTTCTCTTTTCTGATTCGTTTAGCCTCGCATTTATGACCGGAGGCATCACTCTGCAACCGTATCGTCACAATTTGCAACTTTTTTTGGCTCATTTCCTTTTTTTAAAAAAACGCCCTAAGATAGACTCTGTTGATCCATGGAGGTTCTATTCTGAAACACCCAGCTGTCATAAACACACACAGAGAGAGAGAATCAGCCTCCAGGGCAAAAGGCTTGGTGTGACGTACTTCGACCGTCGGAGAGGTCTCCATCCCCATCCTGCGCCCCACCACAGCTGGCTCCGCTTTGGGCTCGAGAGGAAGAGGGGGTCTCGCTGGCTGCTGGGTTGAACTCGGTGCCCTCGGCTCGGGGACCCCTTTTTTCTCGGTCGGCTGATCAATGGGCTCGGAAGCCGGGCGCTTGATTCCAGCCATCCCTCCAACTGCGGGAAAAGGAGGAGACTTGAGATGCCAGCGGCTCTCATCGAGCATATAAAAGAGACACCCAGGGCACGATTGGGTAGCTTCGTCCGCGAAACTGGCACGCGATGCAATCTGATTTACCTGCCTTTTATTATTAAGATAATTTATTGCTTATTGTGATAACCATCTGTTTTTTTTTAATTATCAATATTTCTTTTCCCAATTTAAAGAAACTTTCCTTCCTTCCTCTCTTCCTTCCCTCCCTCTTCCCTTCCTTCCTTTCCTCCCTTCCCTCCTTCTTTCCTTCCTTCCCTCTTTTTTCCTCCCTCCCTCTCTTCCCTTCCCTTCCTCTCCAATTGTCTCAGCAATTACCACTCCAGTTTTGCTGCCCTCTAGCCCTTGGGTGTAACACTGCCTCTGCCCCCTGGAAGCTCCATCTCTAGCTATCCTGCTTGGGGAGGACCGTGGTTAACGTCAAGCTGGATGCATCTTGGGTTTTTCGTTGTTGTTCTTGTTTAATCCTTCCCATCCTCTAAAATTTTTCAGAGGCTTCATAGGAGCCCTCCCAGTGTGGACAGGACTTCACGGCAGCCCAAAATCTGGAAGGAGGGAGTAAGAAAGAGAGAGAGAAGAGAGAGCGAGGAGAGAGGAGAGAAAGAGAAAAAAGAGAGAGAGAGAGGAGAGAGAGAAGATAGAGAAGAGAAAAAGAGGAGAGAGGAGAGAAAGAGAGGAGAGAGAGAAGAAAGAGGGAAGAAAGAGAGAAGAGAAAGAAGAGAAAAAGAGAGGAGAGAGAGGAGAGAGAAAGAGAGAAGAGAGAGAGAGGAGAGAGAGAAGAGAGAGAAGAGAAAAAGAGAGGAGAGAGAGGAGAGAGAGAGAGAAGAGAGAGAAGAAAGAGAGAGAGAGAAGAGAGAGGAGAGAGAGAGAAGAGAGAGGAGAGAAAGAGAGAGGAGACAGAGGAGACAGAGAGAGAGAGAAGAGAAAAAGGGAGGTGAGAATAGAGAGAGAAAGAGAGAAGAGAGAGAAGGAGAGGAGAGAGAGGAGAGAGAGAGGAGAGAAAGAGAGAAGAGAGAGAGAGAGGAGAGAGATAAGAGAGAAGAGAAAAAGAGAGGAGAGAGAGGAGAGAGAGAGAAGAGAGAGAGAAGAGAAAAAGAGAGGAGAGAGAGAGGAGAGAGAGAAGAGAAAAAGAGAGGAGAGAGAGGAGAGAGAGAGAGAAGAGAGAGAAGAAAGAGAGAGAGAGAAGAGAGAGGAGAGAGAGAGAAGAGAGAGGAGAGAAAGAGAGAGGAGAGAGAGGAGAGAGGAGAAGCAGACAGAGAGAGAGAGAAGAGAGAGAAGAGAGAGAAGAGAAAAAGAGAGGCGAGAAAAGAGAGGGAGAGAGGGAGGCAGGGAGGGAGGGAGAGATACTCACTGGGTGACTTGCCATGGAAGTAATTGTAATATTGGGAGACGTAAGTGAGGATGCTCAGTCGGTCGGGCACCCTGAGGGTCACCATATCTTCTGCGTCCAGCAAAGCGGGGATGCCCAGCTCCTTCTCCGCAACTCGGAAAGCCTGGGAGATGCGAACAGAGAGGTTTTAGGAGATCTCCTTCTCTTTAACCAAGCGGAGATCCGTGCCCAAATTCTTTTGTAGGACAGCTGGGGATTCGAACCGCCGACCTTTCGTCCGAGCGTCTTAGCCACTGAGCCACCGCGTCCCTCATCAAGACTTCTAGTCCTCATTAGGAAGGCTCTCTGGTGCGGTCGGAAAAGAATCTCGTTTTCCAAGCCTGGAGTTGAAGCCCGGCCAGGCCATGGAAATTCAACGTGGAGGCCCAGCTCCTTCCCCAGGACATTCCATTCCTCCGGCCCCTCGACCCACACTTGGCCTGCTGGACGCGGCACAGAGGCTTTGGGTGGTCCAAGCCTCCTTCCTTCTCACACGCACATCTGGCAGCCTTTCCTTCCTCGCAACCACTGCCTTTCCCAGGCACTCCACATCCCAGGATCTCAGGTTTCCAAACAGCGAAGAAGGAAGGGGGACAGAGGAGGATCTGGTATCCAGAGGGAAGGCGGAAGGCATTTCAAGAGGCAGCCAGATCGGGACAAGGGAGCCCGGCAGACTGGGAGAAAGCCAGGGGTGAAAGGAAATGGATCTAAATCCAATCATGGGTTTTTCAGGGAGGATCCCGGAATCATTGGGAATCCGATCTGCTTTACAGAGTGGTGGGAAGGACGAGAAAAAAGAAGGGAGGAGGAATGGCTGACCTGTTCTCCTTGGAAGAAGAGCAGAAGGGGATGGAGAGACTGGGACAGAGAGAGGGAGGGAGAAGGGAACAGGAGATGGAGATGGGAGAGGAATGGAAGAGGATGAGATGGAGACAGGGATGGGGAAACTGAGGCAGAGACAGAGAAAGGAAAATGGAGGGGAAATGGAGCAATAATGAAATTGATAGAGAAATAGATGAAGATAGTCAGATGGATGGATGNAAGAAGGGAAGCGAAGGAAAGAAAGGGGAGGAAAGGAAAGAAGGGGAAGGAAAAGAAAGAAGGGGAAGGAAAGGAAAGAAGGAGAAAGAGAGGAAGGAAAAGAAGGGAAGGGAAGGAAAGAAAGGGGAGGAAAGGAAAGAAGGGGAAGGAAAAGAAAGAAGGGGAAGGAAAGAAGGAAAAGAAAGGAAAGAAGGGGAAGGAAAGGAAAGAAGGAGAGGAAAAGAAAGAAGGAAAGAAGGAGAAAGAGAGGAAAGAAAAGAAGGGGAAGGAAAGGAAAGAAGGGGAAGGAAAGGAAGGAGAAAGAGGTGGAAGAGGAGAAGAAGAAAGGGAGGGAAAAGAAAGGAAAGGAAAATGTTCATGGAGATCCCTCAGTCATCCAGGTGATGGTTGTCTCAAAGGTGCTTTTTCCCCCAAGAGCCAAACTGGGCTTTCTGATTTTTCTCTGAAGACATTTCGCTTCTCCTCCAAGAAAGCTTCTTCAGCTCCACCATCCAGCCAGAGCCGAAGAAGCTTCTTGGATGAGAAGCGAAACGTCTTCAAAACAAAAAAACAGAAAGTCCAGTTTGCCTCTTGGGGGGGAAAAAAGCACTTTTGGGTTGTTAACTAGGTTTGAAATCATTCAATTGACTCTCTGTGGATTTAAATCACGATTCGAACCCAACCCATCACAGGGACGGCTGCTTCCTACCTTTAGCCACCTTGGTGTCCCATTTACGTCCCGCGTCGGCCGATGTGCCGGTGGACCCATCCTTGATCTTGTTCTGGGGATCAGCTACGACCCCCCATTTGTGGCTAGGATCCTTGGGGAGATGCAGCGTTTCTGCCCCTTTTGGGGTGTCTGCCAAAGCTGGCTTGTTCAAGGGTTTGCTAGCTGGGGGATTCTGGATTTGAAGACTCCGCAAACCAGAGAGGGCAGGAGAAGATGGGCTGTTGGAAGGAAGAGATGGTTATTATCTTCTTGGTTAAGAAAAAACCGAACCCAGCTCCCTTGCAAGGCATGGGAAAGCGAGTTCCAAAACCGCCCTCTTCCAGGATATTAGTTTAATAAAGAAATAAAACTATAACCAACAAGATTCCATACCAAATCAATCCATCAGAGATAAAAGTTGTGCTAAAATATTCATGACTGGGAGAGACATGGGAACAAGGCCAGCCAATGAATAGGAATAGCAACTAAGTCAGCCAATGGGAGCTTAAACGGATCGGAGTCTGTGCAGAGAATCAAAACAGAAACTTAAGAAGGAAAGCAGTCTGCTGCTCTGAGAAGTAAACTAGCAGTCTTGCTAAAATGAAACTAACTGCTTGTGTTCGCTTGTAACTCTCCTGCTTTGTATTTACTTGGAAGAACCAGCTGTTGTTATTGTACATTTATTCATTTAGTCTTATGTATATTAAAGAAGTGAATGAATCCAGCTGCATCAGTTATCTGTCTGTGCTTCTGGATTTGAATTTGGATCTGAGAAGTTGCATTTTTGCCAATTCCAGGGTATGTTGCCCCCCACCCCACCCCACAAACGCCCCTCTTTGCAAAGTTAAATCTGCAATTTAAGAAAATCCAGATTGGCCTAGTGGTTAAGGCACCAGGCTAGAAAGCAGGAGACGGTGAGTTCTAGTCTTGCCTTAACTGTGAAAGCCGGCTGGGTGGCTTTGAGTCAATCGCCAGGTGAAGGTGAGTTCTAGTCTAGTCTAGTTCTAGCATTAGCCATGAAAGCTGCCTGGTTGACTTTAAGCCAATCCCTAGGAGAATGGGAGTTCTAGTATCGCTTTAGCCATGAAAGCCAGCTGGGTGACTTTGGGCTAATCACCAGGAGACAGTGAGTTCTAGCCAAGAAAACTGTCTGGGTGACTTTAAGCCAGGCACTATTGGAAGCCTCCTAAAGGCTCTGCATGGCCATTTCGGGGAAGGGGGCGGGGTTTCGGGAGGCAAAAAATGCTGTATTCAGTGTATAAGACGC